CTATGTCCAGTACCAAGCTAGAAACACTGAGCTAGAGGACGTGTCCTAGTTGTTTTAGGACAGAACAATCTTCAAAGATGGCCACCCGTCCTCACCTCAAGGCTGGACCCATTCTCACTTGGCTAGACTTGGTGAGCCTACCTGTTAGTTCACCTAAGGTCTGTGTCTCTGGGACCAGGATGTGACAGGGGAAAAGGGGGTCCTCATAGTGACCTGAGAAAGGCACCTTGCACACACCCACAGGTACCTAACTGAGTGGGTTGGAGATATGTCTGCCTCCTCCTGAGCAGAGCCTGTCCTGGCTGCCCCCAGGCTGGCTATGGCTTCTGGATCTTTATGTCACCTGCTAGAGAAGACTCACTTTTGTCTGGGTAGCAGGCAGTAGATGGGGCTGGACATGTCCTGCAAGGTCACACCTTCCAAGATTTATGAGGAGTCCTCATTTCCTATCTGTGGGTGACTTGGGTGAGGCTGGATTCTGGATTGTAGTTGTAGGGACTGGTGGACACACCTAACAAGGGTGGTGTCTGTGTGGTGAATGACACTCCTTCCAGGAAGCCCTGCCACGGGGTCCTGAGCCTGATTTGTCATGTGAGTTTTCTAAGACCTGAGATGACCCCAGTCCCAAAGGACACTAAGCATCTCTGAGGTTTCGTACAGCCATGCCTCTGTCTGGTGGTGAACCTCCTGGTCTTGACCCCAGCCCCATCCTTCCCTGCCTCCTTCCAGAGTTGCTGACCGTACCTTCACTCTGAGCCTCTCTGTGTTTTGGCCTCTGAGAGCTGCTCTGGGTCAGCTCTGCTCCCAGTGTGGGTCAGCTCTACTGACCATTTGTGCTCCCTGGCTGCCTCTTCAGAGGTAAAGGAGGTCCCCTGATTGATCATGCTCATTCAGGTTCAGACAAATTACATCAGTCGTGGATCCTTCCAGAAGTTAGGCTTCTCCTCCAAACACAGACAGAGTTCTGGAGTGGGGAAGTCTGTTCTCCTGTTCTGTTTAAGGGCTGAGTGGGGCTGCCTGGCCCAGCCCCAGTTGGGAGGCCTGTTCCCAGCACAGGGGCACCTGACCAATGCAGTGGGGTGGTTGGTATGTCCCCGGGCACCCACGATTGAACTGGGCTTCAGGAATGACAGAAGCCACCTGCTTTGCTTCCTGAGCTGAAGACCAGCTAATGCCCCTCAAAATTAGATATTGGGTTTACACATGCACACGTGTGCAAGTGTGGTGTGGTTGTGCATGTGTGGAGGCCAGAGGTCACCTTTGGATGTCATTGCTTGATTTTTTAAAAAACTATTTATTTACTTTTATTTGTGTTGGTGTTTTGTCTCCATATATGTCTGTGCAGCAAATGCATGCCTGGTGCCTGGTGCCTGGTGCCTGGTACCTGATGCTTGGTGCCTGTGGAGGTCAGAAGAGGCATTGCTCACATGGCACTGGAGTTACAGGTGGATATGAGCTGCTGTGTGGGTGCTGGTAATCAATTCTGCAAGAGTGAGCAGCCAGTGTTCTTAACCATTCCAGCATCTCTCTGCATCCTTCCCTTTGTTTTTGTTCTTGTTGAGACAAAGTCTCTCATTATCCTGGGACTCACTGATTAGGTCAGCTGACCAGTGAGCACTGGGAATCCTCCTGCTTCTGCTTCCTCAATGTTGGGATTACAAGTAAGATGTCTCTCACAAATGTCTTTATGGACTGTTGTATTAGTTATGAACTGTGGGGGGAAGCTTTTGCTTCTGTGTGCATCTGTGCAGATGCTCATGGATTCCAGAAGGGGGTGTTGGAGCTCTTGGAACTGGAGCAATGGTTCTCAACTTGTGGGTCTTGACCCCTTTAGGGATCACATGTCAGAAATCCTGCATATCAGATATTTACATTAAGATCCATAACAATAGCAAAATTACAATTATGAAGAAGCAATGAAATAATTTTATGGTTGGGTGTCACTATACATGAGGAATTAATTGTATTAACTGGTTACAGCATTAGGAAGATTGAGAACCACTGAGCTGGAGTTACAGGTGTTTGTAAGTTGCCTCAACTGAAGTCTGATCCTCTGTTAGAATAGTAAGCACTATTAACCACCGAGCTATCTCTCTAGCTCCTAAACTCTAAAAAATGGAAGTGAAATTGTGTAAATGAACACAGGCATGCATACTGCTTGAGTTAGACAAACAATCATTTGTTGCATTGTTCCTGGGAGCACTGAAGCATGATGTCATGGTTTTGCTGGCATCCTCAGGAGTCCTCTTGGTTTGGGGTTGTGTCATATAAAATGTAATTAGAGAAAGGCAATATGCATATTGCATTGGAATCTGAAAAGAATCAGAATTGACAAAGCTATCTTCAAGAAACTAAGCTGGGCATGGTGGCTCACACCTCTATCACCTCTAATCCTAACTCTTGGGGGAGGGGCTAAGGCAGAGGGATTGGGAGTTCAAGGTTATCCCCGATAAATACAAGTTCAAAGCCAGTTTGAGAACACATGAAACCCGCTTCAAAAAGACAAAAAATAAATTGTGTTGGCCAGACCCAACATACAAGAGGCTGAGACAGGAGGTTGGTGAACTATTGCACTCAAGTTGGGACTTGGGAGCTCTAAGCCCTGCCTTCAGTTCCTGGCCCTCTCCTCTTCTCTACCTTACACACAAGGGTCAAACATCGACACAGACAGGTGTATATGGTGTGGCCGTTGTTAGGGATGGGTGGTGGGGAACAGCCAAAAGTAAACATTAGTTAGCACAAGTGTTTGTGCATTGGTCAAAAAGCATAGCCCACCCACTAATGCCAGGTCACCGTTGGCCAAATGTGTGTTTGGAGGGATGAAGAGCTTAAGAGAGGAAGGATGGAGAGTTTAACTGAAATCATCATGGTCCTCAAACACGCATGGGAGGGGCCTCAGAGGCCTTCTTGTCCCTTGCTTGGGTTGTGAAAGAGGAAGCGTGAGCATGAAGGAGAAAGAGGTGACCTGATGCCTGAACCAGGACAGTGATTCATGCCCTCCACCCTCAGTTCAGCACAGACCAGAGTCAATACAGAGGGCTCAAAAAGAAGTAGGCAAAGGCATTTTGCATGAGCTCTGATCCATTCTAGAAGGAAATATCTGCACTTACATTTGGAGCCTGGGGACTGTCCACATCTACATTTTATTGCTGTGGAGTGAGCTGGCCTGAAATCTATGCAGATGTCAACCACATCTATTATCTTAGAAAAAGCCAACTCTAAAACTTGGGTTGCATCAGAAAAAAGTGTGACATTCTAGAGGACTCCTTTATAGCCGACCCTTTCTTGACTCCAGCTTGCGCCAGCCATCTCCCAGTCCTCCCTGGACTCCTCTCAGCCCACACAAAGCAGGCCCGAAGCCACTGGAGGACAGGTCACCTCTTGATGACAGCCTAGGTTGCCTGGCCATAGACATTACAGCTCTTAAAATGTTCCCGGATATAATAGCCACCTCTCCTGTCCTCACTGCCACCCCGCCCTCCTCTTCCTTGACTTCCTTTAGCCCCCACCATTGTTCCCAAGCATAGCTGCCCCATTCCTGAACATAACAATTCAAACATAGCCCCATTCTTGAGCACAGCAATTCAGCACTTTGCTGCTCTAGCCCAGCCCAGGCCCTTATAGCAGGAGGGCATCCCCAAGTGTCTTAGTTATTTTTCTGGTGCTGTGACAGAATACCCAGACAAAAACGATCTGGGAAAGATAGGTTTGTTTTGGTCCACAGCTGGAGGGTTCAGACTATCATTGTGGGAAGTCATAGAGGCAGGAGCTGGAGGCATCTGGTCATATCACACCTACCATCAAGAAGCAGAGGCCAGTGAACACCTGCGCTCAGCTAGATCTCTCCTTTTTATACAGACCAGGACCCAAGCCCAGTGAGTGGTGCTGCCCATATTTAGTATCAGCAATCAAATCTCTGTGCAGGTAACCTCAGAGACGAAATAGCCCTTCACAGGTTGTCCCGTTAAGGTGACTACACCAATCGAACCCATCTGTGAGGATAGTTTTTCTTCCCTCAGAAGGGGTTGTACTGAAAGGCCCCAGTGCCTGAGCAAGCAGATCACCTGTTGGTTGGTGGAGTGCGATGGGAGGATTGAGGCTCTACCTGGACTTCTGTGTGCTGACGGGGCTCACCAAGGAGAGGGGCAGGCTGGACTGTCTCTGGAAGCTGTTTTGGCATTAAGCGGTTTGTGATTTTTGTGCAGTTCAACTGGTGTCGGGTGGAGGTCACTGCTGGCTGGATTGGATCCTGAAGTGACCATGTGTGTGGGAAGGGCTCCTAGCCAGTGTATCCCTACCAAAGAAGGATGCTGGCTCCAGCCCTGGGGTAGAGGCAGAGAGGAAACCCTGGAGGGGAGGAGTGGCAGGTTGTGAGGTAGAGGGAAACCCACCATCTTGTAGGGATACCTTCCAGAAGAATCCTTTAAGTCTTGCGCGGGTTTTAACGACGGGATCATTGGGAATGGTAGGTGGAGAGGGGTCATGCCTAGCGATGGATTGCAAAAACCAAAGGTCTGAAGGAAAGGAACGATATTAACACTGGGCTTTTTAAGTGCGGCAAAGAAACGGACTTGCTTGGCACAGCTCCTAAAGGGAGGGCCCAAATTCGCTTTCTTTCCACTCTTAACGATATCGACATTCTTCGAAATGTTTGCTGAGTGGTCAGAAGACAGACAAGGCTATGAGGATAGTAATACGGATGGCAGGAGATCTTGCTCCTTGAGCCTCAGTTTCCCTTTCTGTCTAGCAGGCCTGTGTCTGGCTCTCAGCTTTACATGAGCATTAAGAGCAGCTGAGCAGAGTCCACGTGAGTACTGAGCCCAGCGGCTTAATCAGGTCAGCGAAGGGTCCTAGACTCTGGCCACGAACCGCGGCCCCGCCCAACCTCTCTTTGTTCCTCCAGGCCCCGCCCTCTTCACGTAGCTCCCTCGCCATTGGCTAGAGGGCGGGTTCTAGAGGTTCCTGGGGGCGGGGCTCTGGCGGCGGGCGGGGCCTGACGCGCCTGCGCAGAGTTCTCTGACCACAGCTCACACCCGCTGTCTCTGCGCCGGGCTCCGACCGGGAGGCGATCACTGAGCGGCGTAGGGCCCCGCCCCGGGCTCCATTGTTGAGGCAGCCGGCTCTCCGCGGGCTGCGTTCCTTTCCGCCGCCCTGAGCGCACGAGCACCTAGATCCTGAGGTGAGGAGGCGGCGGCTTTGAACCCGAAAAGTGTCCCAGGGTATCCCTCGTCAAGGTCCCCAGGCAGGGTGCCCCAGGCCGGGCAGGGTCCCTAGACAGGGTTGGGCAGGGTCTCCATTGCTGGATAGGGTCCCCGAGGCCCTTCAGGTTACTAGACAGGGCTGACCAGGGACTCCTGACAGGGCGGCATCCCCGGACAAGGCAGGGTCCCTATGCAGGACTAGACAGGGTCTCCCGGGCTAGGTAGGGTCCCTCCCTGGACAGAACAGAGTCCCCAGGGCTATGTAGGGTCTCCGAGGCCCTGCAGGGTCCTCAGACAAGGCTGGGTAGCCTCGGCAGGCAGGGGTGGTTTTCCAGAGACTGGGCAAAGATCCTGACATCGGAGACCCAAAGAGCAGACCATGTCTTGGGATTCTCAGGGCAGTCACTAGGCTGAACTGTGGTCCCTGGCTATGTGGTCGGCCAAGCGGGTCACGGCGTGCGCTGCTGGGGTTGTGGCCGCCGCTTTGCTTCCGAGGGACAGGAACTCCGAGGGGACCGGCCCTGATGGACCCGAGCACTAGCGAGTCCGTGCACTCTGTCATTGTCTTGTGGCACCCAGGGCTCTGCGCCTCCAGGTCCTGGTCAGCCTACCAGTGGTCTCTTTCGGCCCTCCATCATTGTGTAGCTGGTTGACTGCCACTGAGAGGGACTTGAGAAGGGACCCTCTCCTTCTAGCCATCTAAGTGGTGTGAGTGACTCCGGAGATAACTACGTGGACTTAGTGAGTGGGGGAGCTTGTCGGTGGAGAAGGCTGTTTCTGTCCCTGTACTGATTGTTCGTGTGTCACTGAGGGTGACAGCGTGGACACGCACGCGTGGGATCCTGCTTCCCCCGCTAGCATGTGTGTGTGTCTTTCCTGTGCCCCATGGCTTGTCGACCCAGGGTTTCCCCATCCAGTCCTGGCCCCTGCTTTGAGTACGCATTGGACACTGGTGTTTCGGTGATATGAGCCAAGCCCCGTGCGCGTGGGCGCAGTTGGCCTGAGGTGGACCACTGCCACGGTTCTTCAATGTGTATTGGTATTGTCCTTGCCCAGTGAGCTGAAGCGCAGCAGGGAGACTGGAGGTGGAGGGCTGTGCAGGCTCCTGAGTAGCCTGCCTGCGGATCCCTGTCCCTTACCCTGCTGGTCCCTGGGGAGCATGGGGCTGTCACTGTGCTGGGAGTTTCTTACTCCAACTCCAGGCTTGGCAACTCAGGACCTCACGCTGATTGAAGGGAATAGAGCCTTTCTGCCCTCTGCTTCTTGATTTCTTCTGTTGGGAAGGAAAAAAAAATCTGGAAAGCCAGAGTTGACTTTGTAGCTCCCAGCCAGTGCCTGGCAAGTGGAGGAAACTCTCCCAAGAACTTGGCGGGCTGCAGAGTGCATTTGAATCAAGAAAATCCACACCCAGGGAACCAAGCCAAAGCAGTTACAGTTGGAGATCAGATTTATGAAGGCATCCCTGGGGTGAGGTCTAGTGAGGGGATCTGATGATGATGCCCCTCAGACTGGGCCCTCCTCAGCTACGAACAAACGTGGAAGCCATTCATTAGTTACCGATTCTTCTAGCATTTTAAAATCCACTTGTCATGTCTCAGGGATGATGATGGTGGGGTGTGTGTGTGTGTGTGTGTGTGTGTGTGTGTGTGTGTGTGGAAATCAGGACAGTGGTTTTCTGGGGAGGAGAGGGCAGGCGGCAGTAGGAACAAGGAGTTTCAGTAAGCAACCTGCAATTTGTTCTGAAAGATAGCCTATGCCTAAGCAGGGATACAATACCAAACTGAGCTTCTAGCCATCATGGTCTCTATAAGAGTCACACTTAAGTCTCTGCTCTCAACTGCTTCTGCCCTCCCACCGCTCCTCTCTGGGTCTCTGCTCTGGTCAGCCCCTGCCTGTGAGGGCTTTCTCTCTGAGACTCCCTGCGTTAGTCCTGCCTGAGGACCTACATTCTGAACTAAAGGGGCCTTGTGAGTTTGAACCAAAAGTGGTTACCTGGCATAGCTTGAAAAATGCACTGATACAGACCTAGTTTGTTCCGGAGCAAGTAGGAGGTGGGGCCAGATGAGAGGTCCTTTGTCTACACCACAAGTCCAGGTATTTTCATGTTGTTTTAAAGCTACAAAGCCTTGACTCTCCAAAGTCGTTTACATTTTTTATCCTGTCTCACTGGGGTTTGTTTTATGGTGTAGAGTACTTGAACAGAGTTTATTGAGTCTAATTTTGGCCCTGAAATTGATTTACTGTTCCTGGGTAGTTTCTTTTTTATGTTTTAACCTTCTCACCTTTGAGGGTCTTAAACTAGACAACTTTTAAGAACATTCTTGGCTCTTAAAACCTTCATTCTTTTTAACCAAATATAGCAGAGGGAAGTTGGCCTATGGCAAAGGTATAAATAAAGGAGATATTTGAAAAATGTAGTCTAAAGAGCAAGTTACTTCCTTGCTTTTCAGTTTCTTTTTACAAAGGTTGTACAAGGGCCAAGAGATGGCTCATGGTCAAGGGTGCTGGCTGCGCTTGCAGAGGACCTGGGTTTGAGTCCCTACACCCACTCAGTCTAGCTCTAGGGTATCCAACGCCATCTCTGGCCTCTGTGGGCACTACATGAATTCAGCAGAGACACACAAGGAGACAAAACACCCATAAACATTAAAATAAATAATTTTTTAAATGTTGGGTGTCCATGATGGAAGCTTGTTTTTTTGTTGTTATTGTTTGTTTGTTTTTTGGTGTTGTCTTGCATACTGTTTTGAAATTAAATTTTAGTTTTTACCTTTTAAAAGATTTATATACACACTCTCTCTCTCTCTCTCTCTCTCTCTCTCTCTTTCTCTGTGTGTGTGTGTGTGTGTGTGTGTGTGTGTATATGTGGATGTGGGTGTGGGTGTGTGCACACATGCTGGAATGCTTTTGGAGGTTAGAAGAGGGCATCAGATCCCCTGGATCTGGAACTGCAGGCAGATGTGAGCCTCCTCATGTGGGTGCTGGAAATCAAATTCTGTCCATTGCAAGAGCAGCAAGCAACGTTGACCATGAGCTGTCTCTCAGTCCTTGCATCACTCTTATCCCCAAAGCATCACTGCAGCCCCTGCAAACCCTTTATAACCGTGTTTTGTTTGCATCTGCACTGTTCGCATTCCTCGCTTGATGACATCATTGGGTGCAGATCTGTTTTCAAGAGCATCTGCTGGTCTGTTGTCATATGAAGTCTGCCAACTGTGTGCATTTCCAGGTCCCGATTTATAGCTGAGATTTTATTTGGGAGACTCTGAAACAAGTGGAATTTTGAGAGTACCCTGCATAGATATCCTGGGCTCTGTCTAAATGTGGAAAACATCATTTGATCTTAGTGCATGTAAAAAGAGACATCGGATATTAAGGGACCGGTAGAGAAGTTCAGTTCAAAGGAGCAGAAACCAACACTTCAGTGCTAGTCCTTGTGTCTATGTAGTGAGGTGCAGCATTTCTTCTGGCCTGGTGTTAGTCTATAGAAAGGACACGTTTCTCTCTATTATTTAGATAATGACAGGGATTGAAAGTAGTGATGGCAATTCTGTCCAGGGTTGATGAGCCTCAGTGCAACATTTATTATGATCTATACCCTTTTAATTTGAATTTTTTTCTGTTCAGTACTCCACATGATTTGTTATACTGGAGAAGTTTACTTTATGAGGCATCTTTAGAGTCCACTGGATTTTTCTCTGTGGTTTTCTTTTCTTTCTCTCTTTTTTAATATTTAACTTAACTCTAACCCTCTAAAGCTCATTGTGATGGGTGTTTTTTTCATTTGTAGTTACCTTGATTTCTGGCCAGATGAAGTGACAGTCATCTTTGTGGAGAGACTGCATGGGGACAGGGATAGATTAGGACTGTTTCTGTTTCAGTATTGTCTTCTTGCCCATGTTCACCCATCACCAAACACATTATGTTGGTTAGGTGCTATGTGTCCGCACTACGTCTGGGAGATTTCTGCAGCTTCCAGGAGGGTTTTAAATCATGGTGTCACTTCCCGTATTCTGGAGTTTGATAACTCTGTAATCTCCACATATCCCTCATATAACAGTGTTGTGGCTTTTGTCAGACTGTATGTCTAGGTCTGTGGTGTCACTACCACCCAGGGTTTCCTGGGTTACCTTCTCCATCATTAGGGCTCTGTGCCTGTTATTGCTGTTGGTTCCAGAATCTTCCTGTGTGCTGACAGGATGTAGATGTCAGTGGTATTAAGGATAGCTTCCTGTAGTTCTCCAGGAGGGGACTTGAGTTAAATTTTGGCCCTAACAAGGCTTTTTAAGGCAGGTTCTCTCAGCTTCAGTTCCTTGATCTGTGCAAGTGCTTTGGGTCTTAGTAATACCTTAAAAACAAACAAACAAAAAACAAGGCTATTACTTGGAAAATTCAATTCAATTACAAAAGATAAAAGATTTTTTAAAGTTGTACAATGCTGTGTTGCCAAAGTTATAAAAAAATGCTGCATTAAGGATCAAGTTCCTCTGCTTCTCTGTACACACACAGTGTCCTAGATGTGGTGTCAGGAGACAAGCCTTAGCATTGTTTACACCCTGAATGATCACTACTGTTTAAGAGACATTTTGAAGAAATCATCAAGTTCGAATTCCAGTTTTATATGGTTCATATGAATGTATGAATGTGTGTGGTGTGTGTGTGTGTGTATGAGAGAGGGGGGGGATAGGGGAGAGAGAGAGAGGGAGAGAGGAGAGAGGAGAGAGAGCAGAGAGCTTTTGGTGGTTTCTGTAATAGTTCAGAGCCACAGCACTTTTTTTTTGTTTTTTCAAGACAGGGTTTCTCTGTATAATCCTGACTGTGCTGGATCTTACTCTGTAGACCAGGCTGGTGGAGAACTCAGAGATCTGCCTGCCTCTGCCTCCCAAGTGCTGTGGTTAAAGGAGTGTGTCAACACTGCCTGGTTTACAAGCACCTTCTTTTAATGGCTGATTTCTTTCTTGATGTTCTGGATCCTAAG